TATATGTATATAGAAAATATATAATATCATATTGTTCATTACATTTGTATTATTAATGTAAATTATATTAATTTTTTTATATTATACATATAATATAATATATATTTTTAATAAAAATTTGAATAAAAAACATCTTCTTATATATATATAGACATTATATGAAAAAATAAAGATTAATTATCTTAATTGAATATTTCAACAAAATCTAATTCATGCTTTACATTTCTCGATAATAGAAACGACAAAAAAATACTCGTACCAAGAGAAAGTAAAGTTCGTGTAAAAACGAATCCGAATTGCAAACGGCACTTTCTGTACCTCATTGGCAGTAACCAAGCTGCTTGTTTGGCTATTCACCAATTCTTGTGATCCTTTTACGTTTAATCGGTTTCGTTTGAAGCGCGAAACGTGCGGTTACTCGAAATGTCGACTTCTTTGGCGAATTGCCATCTTTTACAATGTTTTTACATGAATTGATAACGTTCCATGTTCTTCGATAAATCGCGTGCGATCAAAATGTCAACTTTCTAACTTTATAGCCAAAAATCTTTAAAAATATCTTGCTCCTATTATAATTTTATACGACGATTAATAAATAAAACGAGCTGAATTGACGGATAGAATTATAATAATTCTTCATTATTATTAATCCTCAGACAACGGACGATGGATGTAACCATCCATACATATATAATTCTACGTATATATTTTTTAGTTCTAAGTCCTAATGTGAGATAAACAATCTCATCCATTTCTTGAGAAAGTGCTTTTATATACTATCCATATTCCGCCCCCCCCCCCCCCTCTCATACCTATATAATTACGATATATAATACATTACAATCAAGATCCTTCCATAGATCAATTACAAATCTCATATTTTAAAGCATTTGTAATTAAATAATTTACTTCACATCGTTTATACTTTAGCAATAAAACACAAGATAAACGACAAAAAGAAATCGCAGATAGAGAACAGGCTTTCCATCGAGTTTTGAAAGTTTCAATAATACACGTGTTAAAGATGTTTTTACACTCGGAGGCGCTATGGATTCTGGTCGAGTATATCGAGCTATAATTGCTTTTCGAAAGTATTGGGAAAACAGTTGGTTGGTCCTTTAAAGGTCGATTGGGATGCAGTGCAAGTTCCGCGAAAGTGCAGTCAAGGTTCTCCATTTCCCGCGAGCATACGAGTGTATATATATCAATGATTTCGATTCTGTAAAATGCACGCGTATGTGTACCAATGACCTCGGTTTGAAGAAACACGCGATCGAGATCGAGAACCGTTTCGAAGCAGCGCTGGCAACGAGGAGTCCTTCACTTTATCGATAGAAAGGAAGAGCATATCACTTACAAATTGAGGTGCGAAATGCACTGGGTCGTTTCACATACCTTTGATCATCACAAAACATATCTATTAATGACAAATTTATAATCAATTATAATATATGACAAATCAAAAATAAGAAGGAAAAAGAATTATTCTTTATTGTTAAAACATTGTTGCCTTCTTTGAAGACATGTTGAATATTTATATTTTAATTTTTGTCAAATAATAGTAAATGTGAATATAGACGTACATTTATTGAAAAAAAATTTATTCGTAAAATTATTTTCTGTCTTAAATCCTTTTTTTTTTTCGTGGAACGTTTTAATTGTCGATGGTATTAAAAATGTCCGTCCTTCTACGTTTTCTACTACTTCCATCGATGGATGTCGAGTGTGCGAAACGTTAACGCAATTTTATATCTCGTCGACCATAAAGCAGACAAGTGCCAGACGCAGAAATGTCACTAATGCGGGAAGTCGATCCTGAGATCTCGCAGTTTTTTTTTCTTTATTTACATATGATTTATTTCTCTCAATCTCGGTTTTGTCAGCGAAATCATTATTATTCGACAAGGCCCCTCGACAACGGCAATTTTCATGTGTACGCTGCACCAGAAGCGTATTTACGGCACGCAGTGTCAATGGCCTCCCGTATTTAGCCTTCGACTTGCACGTAGAAGGTCCGTCGTTGCAGCGGATATCGTTTGCGTCGCGATGAATGGCAATTATCTTCGAGCTGATTCTCAATGTGTATATAAGAAAAATATTTTAAATACACTAGGCATCATAATCTTTCCGTTACTGTGCACGAATAAAAGAAAGATACCGACATTGACATATCAGTTTTAGCTCTAAACTCTAGCGAGAAATTTAGAATAAAAATTTTTATATTCATAAATATTTATTAGAAACTATTCTCCATTTCTTATCTCAAATCATGGCGAAAAGAACGAAGAGAAGATCGTATATTCCGCGACTGCATATATTAGCGATGGTGAAGCAACAATTATTTTGTACATACTTTGATTCTTACTCGGTTTCTTTTGTTACTATTTTTATTACGTCGTAAATCAGATATGGCGATTCAAATATTGTTTTACGGACTCTCCGTTCCGCACGATGCACAATGCAATATTTAAGAATTATGTTGGCCTATGTAGGCAGAGAGCTTGTTCCGACGATTGAACCTCGTAGTTATGTCACCCCATTTGTGGTGTAATAACTCGCGGCGAAAAAAGACATTGTTCTCTCGTATTTCGCGTGCTTGCCTACCCGAGGAGCACGCACGGGTGCTCTCCTTGTCAAGAGAAAGTCTCGTAGATATATACACACGCACATATATCGATCATTACACGTGTATATCTATACGCCTACGGAGAATCACCTCAGATTCTCTTCCGGTCGTATATTCGCGAATTGTAAGTAATCGCTAAAAACAAAATTAAGAAAAAATTGGTCAATAGTTTAGACACGTAATTTATATATCTTATCAATAATTCTATATTTGAGAAGCAAAAAAATATAAGTTTGTAACTTGATTTTTTATGAGAGTCTTGTAAAGTTATAAAATTACGAACGACTTCTGAGTTAAATTTTATTTTCAAATTCGTACTTTTAAATCTACTTTTTTCAGTTTCTTAAATATAAATTTATTGTCAAACAAAATAATTATTATAGGATGAATCAAAGTAACTGTGGCAGTATGATAAACATGTAACTATAAAATTGTCTCATATTTATGAATATATAACGAGAAATAAAAAATTTGTTAACGATTAATGCAAAAGATACTAATGTAAACTAATAGCGACGTCGTACGCGCGTGCGACAAAATGAACGCTGACGACGGGTGATCGTTCCAACCTTGATTCAAAGTGTAATATTGTCATGGATAAGGTTGCACTTATTTTCACGTCCACTCTATCTGACATTGCATTTGCTCATTTTTAATTTCCGAATAATTGTGTTTTTTTTTAAGTATTATATAAAAAAAGATCTGCCATATATAATAATTTTAAATAAAATCGATAAAGTATAGAATTTATACTTGCTTTACAATCATATATTCTTGTCTATCACATACTCTTGCGCTCTACATATAAAATTTTTCTCTTTTTCTCTTTCTAATTCTATCCTCGTTCTAATTTTTCACTTTTCTATTATACGAGAAATACTTCACGCTTAAGATATTTTACGCAAGTATATATTTAATATATTTTCCCTTAAAGTATATCGTTCGGTTAAAATATCCTTGGAAAAAAACAACCGTATCAATATACAATTGTTTGATATTCTCTGGCTCGCGGATTATCATAGCTTGGCCTGGTCCTAATGGATCGGCATTCTTCTTACGCAATGGAGACGCAGAGACCTTTAACAGCGCAGCTGTCTTCTGATTCTCGGCGCAAAGCTGGATATAATAATTTATACGGCTGTCGGTTTCACTGGGCCTTGACACCTACGATGACGATCGACGTACACTACCTTTATGAATCATTGTTAAAAAAGTTTGCCAGTTTTGTGTGATTCTTCATTAACGAGATTAATACAAATTAAATTTCGATGTTAAAAAAAAATAGGAATATTGTACGATAACAAATAAGTTTTAATCTAAACAATAAAGATAAAAGTTGAAAGAAGACATTTCTTTTGCTGAGCGAAAGGAAGGAAGCGACAAAATGTTGCAGCAGCTTATGCAATGGCTTCAATAAAGATTATCGATTCTTTATAGCACGTTTCGCTTTTGATATTCTTGGCGGAATGACGGTCGAATCACGTTTTGCTAGTTGTGAAAAAGACGACAACTTATTTTGGAAAAGAAAAATTGTTCTACATTTCACGGACTCGTGCTCTTCTTTCTTCATTTTGTCATCTTTGTACGAGAGAATTGTTCCGGTGCGATCAGTTCCGTATTTCTAATGTGAAAACTACTTTTTCGATGTAGTTGATTCAGGCAAAATTGCATATTTCAAAAGCATTGTTTCAATCGAGATGTTTCACGAAATCTTACCATGCATAATTGGAGAGAAGTCTAAGTGAAAAACGATAAGATAAAATTGCATCATGTGTTAACTTTACAAAGGAAATTTTAAAATCGTCTAATAGCACAGCAAAAAGTAATTGAGATAAGCATCGATAACCACGAAAACATATTACATCTGAGACTCTCCAATCAGTTTTTAAATAAGACATTATTCTCACATATCTTTAGCGCGAAAATCTCAGTTCGTCAAAATTTCACATCATTTTCAGTTCCTGGTTAAAGATAAGACAAGATAATATGCGAGATAGAGATGACCAGATTTTTTAGTAAAAACAATACTTGGCGAAGTTATATCAGACAAGAAAAGTCAGATTAAAAGCTAAATTGCCAGAGGGACAAACGTGCAACCAGGATCTTCCCGATGACCTCCTGGTGTATAGACGGAAACTTATGCCAAGCTGAATCGAGTCGAGTTCGACTACATGGTGTGTCCACTTTTCATAAGTTGGTGGGGTGCTCTCCAGGAGGACGTGGTGGGTGGCGGTATAAGTAGAGGCTTGCATTCGCCACCGTTCTCATACCCTCACCACGTCCTTCGGCTACCTCTTACTTTTACTTAATACCCCTTTTTCCGTTTTTTTTTCTTTTTCTTTTTCTTTCTCTTTCTTTCTTTTTCTCCCTCTCTCTCTCTCTCTCTTTCTCTGTCCCTCTGTCTGCCTTTTCCATACACACGTGCACTCTCACTCGATCTTTCCTTCTCTCCGTCTGTCTCGGTACGTTCGCCTCGCCGTTCGCTAGCTCGCTCGTTCGTTCGTTCATTCGTTTCGCGCCTCGTCGGCGAAGTCACGTCACGAAACTGTACATAGGTCACGTCCTGGAGAAACGGCTCACCCAGTGAACAGTTGAACGGATCAACGGCAAATCTCTTTGCGCCCGACTGGAGGACGAGTGTTGATCGCGATCGGTCGAAAAAAAAAGGCAGAGATGATCGCGAGTGCCCGGTGACGATATATAAAATTGTCGATAGTAATCGCAGAGAAAGTATATATCGATATTGTCAAGAGAGTGACGATATAAATCGGATAGCACGTACTGATTCGTCGAGGACTATTTTGTTCTTGACGCCAGCTGTTCTACGGAAGCAAGACCAAGAAAGGCGAACGAGGGAGAGAAGAAGAGTGTCTAGTGCAGACATGTGGCTCAAAAGCGTGTTTTTGTGAGTACTCCAATCAATGCAGTTAAAACTGAATATAATACTAGAATCTTTTGCATTTCCTCATTTATCTGGCGCGACAAGACTGCAGTTTTAATAAGAAATTAAGTTCTCGTGAAAATAGATCTGTGGAGAATTTAAACGTTATCAAATTGACTATTTTAGAAAAGACACTCTTATCTAAATCGTCAACTTCTTATTTTATAGAGAATAATTCAATGCTATTAGAGAGAGAGAAATATTGTATGTATTAAACCTTTTTTTTTTTAATCACAAACATATGCCTGCATAAGAAAAAAAGAAAAGATTAGATTTGCGACATGCTTGCCGCCTAAAAAATTCTCAGTTTCAAACAAAATTTTTTTTACATTCATCGAAAATAATTAAATTTTGGTCGACATTTTATGCGTACTTTGATGCAATCTTCGCAACTTGTTCCGTCTCAGAAATAAACAGTGAGCTAAAACTGATTTGTGCAATTCCAGTCACTATCTTACTCAAATTTTTAATATTAACAATCATTCAAACAGGTTGTAATTAGAATATGCTAATATATCGAAAAAATTATGCCGCAACATTTTTAAGATTTATATCAACATCATTTCTTGCTATAGCTTGTACTCGAGGAGTAAAAAAGGTCTTATCCAAAACTCTTACTTTGAATTATGATTAATGATTATAAATGAATATCGATCTGAAAGAAAGCGACTTTTCATGGGCAAAAGATATTAGCTTTTGAGTTACGAGAGTTATCGTAGCGAAAGGTGCGCGCAATCAACGACTCACTCTCTTGTTAGATACGCCGATTACAAAGTTTCATTCAGAAGAATGTGTGGGTATAATTTATTTAAGAGAAACTTTTAAACACATATAGTGTTCTCAATCTTAAACTGTCAATCAAAGATAGAAATTAGTTTAACTGGATCATAGCCTTATGATAATCTAATTATATGTAAGTCAATATCCTTTAAATATGAAAAAGTATGGTGCTTAATTATAAATATTATATCAAACAAATATAAAAAATATAATAAGAAAATAAATATTACAAATGTAAATATTTATTACATACATTAAATGTGTGTGTGTGTGTGTACTTAAATTTTAAAAAAAAATGTATATATATCCATATATAAAAAGTATCTATCTTTGTCCAAATTAAGAGTAATATGTAACAGATTCAGCATTAATATGTGCTCAATCAGAGATTTCAAATTATTAATTTTACTTTATTAAACAAAATATGCTATAGATAATAATCATATAAGACTTGTCGACACACTGGCTTTTGAGATCTACAGATTTTGAATAGTTCTACTTATCAGAGATTTTTTGAAACGAGACATCACAAAGTAAAATAAGCAAGCAATAGTCAGACAATCATCTGCGTTTTGGATTCACGTTACTTTCAAGTTTGGCGAGAGCGTCACAAATATATAAAGTTACAGTATTTTCCCAGTGAAGCACATTAGTTGCGTTCCATTTCATAGTACTGTTTGTAATCTGGCATTGTTTGACACAAAAAAAGCTATTTATTTAACTATAATGCATAGCAGTGTATGAGCAGTGTAATGTAAAACATCACACAGAAAACTGATTGTGCAGGCAAATAGAAAGTTTAGATCAACAGATCACCGCGCCTTGAAAAAATTCATTACTCGCATTGCTATTTTATGACACTATTTGCGTAGTATTGACTGCAAATGTTGCAATATTTTTGCCCAAAAAAAACTCTGATAAATACGATAACTGATAAATAGGAATACTGATAATGTGTGTTATTAAAATATCAGATAAACTCATATAAAATCAATCTTAAAAATTAAATTAGAATATTTAAAGATTAATCAAATTTCAATTCAGTTTCTAATTGATCTTTTTGAAAAGCTTTCGCACACACATAGTAATGCTATAAAATGTCACTAAATTTTTTAACATAATTAAAATGTTGCACATGACATAGATATAGTTTTCCTAATTTATGATAAATTAGATAAGAGCGGAAAAAATTGAAAGAAATTCTAAATTACTAAACTTTTGCATTCTTTTTTGATTGACATGCTGCAAATTTCTGTATAGAAAATAGCATTTCGTAGGCGATATAAAAAAATATTATTTACGAGTTAGTAATAGGTTTTTGCGGTGCATATTATGACTTATATAATGTCAGTGTCTCGTGCCACTGGAGATACCTACGTATGCAGTATGTTTATGCAGATATGCTTGTAAGCGAGACCGCTTTCTCCATATGGTTTCACGATAAATTCCAGCATGAAGCCTCCATCTTCAGTGTAAGTTCCTTGAGTTATGGAACATCTTGTTATATGTCTTTTGATCCCTTCATTGTCAAACTGAAAGTTTTCGCTTACCTTACATGTCGCAAGAAAAAAATTTAATAATCCAAAAGCTTAAAATAATTTGAAACTTGCATTTTTAAAACATGAAATAGTATAATCAAAATTTATAATTATTTCTTCGAGCTGAAAACAATTCGGAGAATAAAATAACCTTTTCAAACATATTCTTCTTTATTAATATGTGCAAAGATTTTTGGCAAAGATTAAATTTTTTTCTAAACCTATGGATCACCCCACTTTTTGTATCAAGTGAATCAAGTAAATACTAATAAAAGACAGAAAAAATAAAGATTAAATGCCAAATAATTAAAAAGACTATTTATAAACAACGATTGCAAAATTTCATTCAGTAATCTGTTTCAAACTGCATAATAAGATAGAAAGCTGAAATTACAGATTGCTGCATAAAAAAATTTTTAAACCAGAAAAATTTTGTATCTTTTAAGCAACGAAAAAAGCTATGAATAGACTTAGAAATGCTAGTCAAGTACAACCACTTACTAATTCTATATTTGATTCGATCGTGAGCGTTATGAACGAAGGAGGTAAAGAACGTGTTTTATAATTCGTTCTACTTTATTTGCAAATGTATTCCGGTTGTAAATTATTTCTGTACACCGGAAGATCATTCGAATGGAACGGTAAGTGCATTCAGCAGCGGTTTCCTGTCGTTGTATACTTATTTTTCTGCTCCATGAGTATAGTAAATTAATAACATAATAATAAACTCATGCAACTAATATTAATGTAATAAAACTAAAATGTTTTCTTTTGGTTCCATTAATCGAAAAAAGTTTTTATCAAAAAATATAATAGTAAGATTAGCTACGATGAAGAAGAGCAAAGTCGAGAATTATGCACGGCATGAAATATATTAATTCATTTTTCGTGCGATTTTTTTCAAAAAATGTTTTTGTATACTGTATGATTTGCATTCTTTTAACATAAAAATGATACTATATTAAGACAAATTATAACTGACGATAAAAAGATGTTGTTATATTAAAATCGCCCTAACAGTTTTACGAGATATATACGATATCACGTCAAAGAAACCGCTTTTTTAAATGTCAATTCCGTGGTCACATGACGGCCTTGCACCGACCATATATTTTGCCAAAGAAAAAAAAGTTCTGTATTTTTGTCTTAATTTCAAAAGCCGCTCTCTTGCATTCATAGAGGAAATTGATCGTTTTTGCAAATACAATATCATAAAATTAAAAGATTCTCATTCTCTCATTGCTTTTCTTCGACCTCGTGTAAAACTTGTCTCTAGTTTTTTTCAAAAGAAGTTATAAAAAGTTTTTATTCACACGAGAGAAAGAGAGAGAGAGAGAGGGAGAGAGAGAGAGAGAGAGAGAGAGAGAAACTACTTTTAGAAAATATTTCTAAAATGACGAGGTTTTACCGATGTTAATATGTCGTAATGGGAATGAATAAATGTTAATGTATTAAAAGTTTATCAATTTTGGGACGATCTCCGTTATATGTTCCGTAATCATCAATTTCGTAAACCTTGACAGAAAAGAGAACAAGGTCGTATGCTGATATCAGAGGGGCATTAACATTATACTTAATATTTTTTCCAATATGAATTAATAATAAGAAGTTTTTTTATAAAGAAAATATCAAGTTAATTCTTTTTGTTTCTGCAAATTATTTTTTGTCTCAACAAAGCAAATGTTTTATAAAATAAAAATAAGCTATTTTTTCACTTTTGCGTAAAGTTTGCAAAATTTTATAGATTAGTGAAATATTTTTGTAAGTGACACGTGAATTTCGTGTTAGCATATATAAATTTTAATTCTGGAATAATCGAATGTAAAGGAATAGTCAAGAGAATTGGGCAAGTTGGATTCAGCTCGCGATCCCGAGGATCAGATGTAAACTTTCACCATATCAAGCCTTACATTAACTATACGCATTCCCCCGTCATTTACATTTCGCCTCTTTGCATCTAATATACGTCTTATCACTTTCGCTAATAATGCGTTGTTATACCTTACAATGATATGGTAATTCTATTTTTTTCTTTCTTTGTATTAATTATACATTTATACTGATCTGTATGCCATAATTAATAGCAAAATGCTCGAATTTTCTTTATAATTTTGATTTAATTTTAATAAATATTAAAAAATTGTATTTATATATCGTAATGTGTTATTTAAAATAAAAAAATTTTTTTTTGCTACCATGAAAGACATTTGTAAAGTCTATAATTAAATATTTTGTGACATTTAAAAATAAGCAGTATACATCTATTGTGACATATCCTTGTATTAAAATCTACAGAATATATGGCGTCATTGCGTGCACGTTAGCTGACAGTCCATCGGATATCGTACAGATATCCGGTGACAATTTGATTCGAGCAAAACATATCGAGGCAACAACGTATCAGCCTCCTCGAGCTGTTAAAATTGAAGGTATCTATTTATTTAATTTAAAGAAAAACTAAGTAAAACTACATTAATCTATAAGTGTCCTAAAAAATGCGACAAAAATTAATTGAATTGTACAAATAAAGCAAAAATCTACATCAATTTTGATTAAATTTTCTCAAATTTATAATATTCACAAGAATCTTCAAATTTTATAAAATTTTCAGAATTTTGGACGAAAAAATCATAAATTTTGATAAAATTTCAGAATTTGTGACATCACACAAATTACCGGGAAATATAGCAAGACCATCGGACGATGATGATGAATATTTTGACGAGAAAAAAGTTGCGCTTAAAGACAATAAATACACTAAAAAAGTCATTCAAAAATTCGAGAATAATGAAAAAAAAGCTATACTCGAACCTGCCCGACGTTTAGACTCGACCGCGGATGATGACTTGGAAATTCTTACTGCTAAAAGGCTAGCACGTGTGGAGCTCGAAAATTTTAGCGATTCTGGAAAGGTTTTGCAGGACGAAAAAATAAAGAAAGTAGACTCTAAAAGGCCAACGTTAAGCGAACAGGACGAGGTTATTCCGGGAGTTTACGTCAGGTAAAATTTTTGTAGCTCCTACAATTGCAAATATTTTCATTAATGATACGTATAAACACATACGTTAACAATGTCTGATATATACAATTAATGAACAATTAATTGACATTGGTACTTATGTCTTAATTCTATGTGTATTGTTCCTTGATTATTTCTTTGTATCTTTATATACATTTAAAAGACAAATATAAAATATTTTAAATTATTTTTGCTTGAGAAATTTTTTTTTCTACCAAATAAAAGTTTAGTATAACTTTTAATTTTTTAGTGTAATTTTATAAGAGAGTATATTTCGAATTTTAATATAATAATAAATACAAAAATTTCGTAATTTTTTTGGCTTTAATAATGACGGCGTACTTGCGCATTTTCAGCGCAGAATATCCAACAACTATGCTACCTGTTCTAACAACCCCGCGTGAAGCACGTGATAAGGACACCCCTTTCGACTTTGTACCCGTAAACATTATTCGCGAAGATAGCAAAGATAGTTATGCGCATTTTTCGGATGCAAACTTTGGAGACTTGAGTGACGTGAGTCTGGTACCGGCTGGTACGAATTCTCGTATTCAGGTATATTATGATTATTATGAAATAATTGTATTTTTTCTTCTCTTATATATTTATATTTAATTTAGTAAACTAAAATGCGATATGATGAGAGTTATCTTTATAAAACCTGTATAGCCCTACTTCCTCAGAAAACATTTCTAACATAATTTTGTATGCATTAAAAAAATATATTTTTTTTTCTTGTGTAAGTTCTTTCAAGCATTTCGCATTTAGCATTTAGCATTTCGATTAAATTTAGTATTTGATTAAATTACAACTTACTTTTTCTTATACCTGACAGGTGAAGAAAGGACCGAATGGCAAGGACTATGAATACGAATATGTGTATTATTATTACGACGAGGAAGATGAAAACAAAGCAGGTACGGCAGGTTCAACTGTGACGAATTCTTACGACATTCCTTCCAGAACAACCTCGGCGCCTAGAAGAGGAGGCATTGCCAGCAACAGAAGTAAATACAATACCGTAGAGAGATCGAGTACCGTGGAGCCTAGCAACAACGAGGTCATACCGAATAAAAATGGCAATAGAGGCAGACAATTGGTTGAAACCGAAGACGTTGTCTCCGAGGAAAGGCTGCCCGCAAACACACGTTTTCCACCAAGGTATATACATATATTACAATTAATGTATAGCTTTTAAACATTTACACAACTCACTAATTAATTATTAATTTTGTTATATAAAATTTTTGTAATTAATTTTTGAGTTGTTATTGCGCAACAAAAAAATGTTTGAAGATAGCAATAAAAGTATTAATATTTCATAACATAATATAACATAAATTTCTATATTTTCTATACCTTTTATTTTTCCTCTTATTTAGCATTTTTATAAAAATTTATCAGAGAAAGAAGCGCCTATGCTTTGAGACAGGTAAAAATACCTGATTATTTTGTGTTAATAGATCGCGATCGAATCACAATACAGGCACCACGGAATCTTCACGAGCCCGTAGTAATCGACCGCGTCCAGGTCTGGATCTGGTTGATTCCAGCAGCTTCCGGACTCATCAGGAAGGTCCTGAATTTCCGCAAACTTTGCCAAAGGGACCCGTTAGATTCTTAGGCGTTACCCCTAATGAGAACAACGAAGAGAAACTATTAATTAGAAACCGTGGCAGACCACAGAGGATTCAAGACCCCGCTCCTGTCGAAGAAACGATCGACGATGTACCGGCACCTGCTATTAAAAGACGTCCAAGCACCACGGCAGTACCTCAAGTATAATTAAACAAATTAAAATAAATACTTTTATTATCCGCTTAACTGCACGATGCTTTCTAAAAATTAAATCAATCTTTCATTTTTTCAACAATTAAATATTTTAATAAATATTTTATCGATAGATTTTTAATTTCATTATAATTAACACTATGTTTTTTTTTTCAAGTTATAAAGATGTATAAATTTTTAGACGGAAGTTGAACTGAGCAGGGGTCAACCGCCACGTCCTGATGAGGAAGACGACAAAGAGAACGCCGCACCAGAGGGACCTGGCAACAAACACATATCTGTAGAAGACAAAATGCAAGAGTCGAGCGAAACGGACTCTTCCGGTACTATCCTTGATACTACGGATAATCCAACGACGGAAAATCCGTCGATCATGGACAAGATTGCTTTGGATCTTTACGCCTTCCTGCAACAGGGACAAAACAATTTGGTAGACGCGTTCAACAGCGAATCTGGCGAAACACAAGACAACACGACGATACCCGACGACGAGATCACAACCGATCTAGCGACAACGACGGAACTTGCAGCCACTACAATCGTTGCCGATTCTATTAATACCACGACGTCAACAACTACGACAACGACGACGGAACCGACAACCACATCGACCACGACCACAGAACCATCGACTACCACCACTCAAACTCCCGCAGGAAGAGGGAAATTCCGACGACCTGGACTCGGTGGTCCGGTTGTCTCCAGAAATCGGTACGCGCCTATTCCATATTCACTCCTATAAATTTAATTTTTTGTTAGGTTAATACCTGATATATCTGATATAAAAATTTTACATTAAATAATAAATACAGATCTCATGTATTTCAAAATTCTCTTTTTAATTACTTGTTTATACCAAGCAACATTTTGAAGAAATTATTATCTGCGTAATTATAATATAAAAAATATAAATATATGAAGAAAATTATTATTAATAATAAATAATGTATTTCAAAATTCTCTTTTTAATTACTTGTTTATACCAAGCAACATTTTGAAGAAATTATTATCTGCGTAATTATAAAATTATAATTATAAATATATGAAGAAAATTATTATTATTATATTATTAAATTTCTAAATCCAATTTTTTGCTTCCTCATAGAGGAAGCTTTGTTTTCGTGACAAAATTTTTTTTCGAGTTT